TAAAGGATCCATACAGTCTGAAACTCTTCCCACACTGAGTGCAGGTAAACGGTCTCTCTCCAGTGTGGATCCTCATGTGTGTTTTAAAGGATCCAAACAGTCTAAAACTCTTCCTACAATGAGTGCAGGGAAATGGTTTCTCTCCAGTGTGGCTCATCAAGTGTGTTTTAAGGGATTTTAACAGTCTGAAAGTCTCCCCACACTGAGTGCAGGTGAATGGTTTCTCTCCGGTGTGGATGCTCATGTGTGTTTTAAGGTTTGGTAACTGACTGAAACTCTTCCCACACTGAGTGCAGGTGAATGGTTTCTCTCCAGTGTGAATCCTCATGTGCATGTTAAGAGCTGATAATTTTCTGAAACTCTTCCCACACTCAGTGCAGACACAACAATTCTTGCTTGTTCTGTTCATCAAATAAACATCAGTAGTCTCTAAATTAGGTATATTTTCAGCTTTGACATGTTGTTTCTCCTCTTCACTCTCCTCAATCTCTTTAATTAGGTCTGAAATAAAGGTAAAATGAAGTTCAGTTTTTAGTAAGTCATAAACGCTGAGCAAATGTTGAAGAATGAAAAGACACTGAAAACTACAGCCCGAAATACTGACACTCATCGATGTAAAATAAACGTTAATCCAATTTTTTATCTAGTGGTTGACCGATATTCTTCTTCCACTCCGTCATTCAGTCAGTTCTGTCTAATACAAAAAAATAACCAGACAGAACTGTTCAATCGGAGTAATTAAAGTGTGTACAACAGAATTATAACAAACGCTTTAATTATTAAGGCAAATAAGGCTTTCTCGTTTGCCATCTGCTTTCAGTAAATTTGCATATATCAATTATAGGGGTGTAACGATACACTCAGCTCACGATACGATGTGTATCACGATATAATGTTCACGATTCGATATGTATCACGATATTTGGAATAAAAACTGAAAATTTTACTGAAATGCAAATTTTACCAAGTAAACTATTTTTTATGTATTTCTTTTGTTTCAACTTGTTAAACTGAACCTTCTTTTAGAAAATATATTAAACAGGCCTGTCTCTGGAAAATAAAACAATTTAAAAACTTCTTAAAAAATATTATTGAAATGACAAGAGACAAAATTAAGGAACAATTTAAGTAAAGGTGCAAAAAAAAAAAAACACTTTCTATTCAATTGAATTTAACAGTAAGAGCTTAAGGCTTTGCTTGGTCACTTGCGTTTTTTGTGTGTGCAAAAAAAAAAATCCACATTTCCAGGTAATCAACAGTTCTATAAGATAATCCTGAACTTATGTGTATCTGTCTGAGAGGTTTTTATGGATGGCTGTCTTCATGTTGGGCATGATGAGTGACAGGGTGGCCGTCTTTTCATCACACAGGACAGTCGTGGCTCTTTTCAGCAGTTTAGACAGGTTTACTATTTCTTCGGCGTCGCTGATGTCGGCGCTATCAAGTGTATCATGTTGACGTGCATTTTTGTGTGCCTCTGTACTCAAAAGGGTTAATGCTCGTCGTATTCATAACTCTAAAATGCGATATGATTGTTTAAATAATGTGTACGTTTTCGGTTTCATTTCCACTGCTAAGTGCTGTTCATAATTCCCACGCGGCTCCTGAAAGATCACTCTGTTCCACAAACTGAATGTTGTTTACTACTTTATTAGTCACAACGGATAGTCAGATCAAAGGTTTAAATGCTAAAACGGCTTTCCATACACGCACGTCTATCATCCGCCCTCTGTAGTAACAGCTCACGTCTTGTGTGATTTTGCGGCGGCCAATACATCATTATATGAAGACAGAATGATATTTTAGGGTGAATTGTACGTTATAAATACAGTATGTGACTCTTTCAACACCATTAGGAGGTATCCATGTCGCTGTGCAAAGTATGTAAATCACTGTGAAGACTTTAAAACTTAGGATGTTTGACCCAGTATGCGTGTCAAAAAGTGGACGAGTCTAAAGCAATGACTGTACAACCGAAATGTTGCCAGACGTCTGATTTTGAGAGGATGGGCCATCATCTATTTCAACTCCACTCATCTTGGTCTGCTAACATTACTGTTGCTGCAATCTGAACTCACGTGCGACAGCAGGTGGAACGTAGCTCACGTGCAAACAGCTCAACTAATAAGAGAAAACGGACGTCATATCGTAATCAAATCGTCATAACGCCACGATGCATATCGAGACATTTTTGCATCGCAATAAATCGTACAACGAAAAATCGTTACACCCCTAATCAATTAAACAAATGTTTGAATCATTAATGGACATTTCTTCTCACAAACTCTGAAAAATTACACAGGTTTTTGTAATGCACAACTATTTTAAAAGACGTGTGAAAGAGAAAGCTGTTGTTGACACATCTTTCAGATGAGATTCATATGTGTGAGGAAATTACATTCATATAAAGGACAAGGAGCGTTACCGTACGTTCACACCGAAAAGTGGCGAGAGCATCAAAGTAGCCGGAAGTCATTCATTTTCAATGAGAGCGCGTCGCGTCTTCGCTAGTGTGGACGTCGAGGAGAGTTAAAATCAAGTCACCTTTATGGTAATGAGCTATGACGCGGTTCGGCGGCAAGCAATCAGAATGAAGTAGTCCACTGCTTGAGAGGAGTTTAGAGAACACAGACCTGTGAACTTTGGCTTTGACCACAGTTGTTCCCCAAGGGTTCGATTATTGCAGTCGCCGGATTTTCAATTATTTACAATGTCTTCTTACAGGAGCATACATTAAATAATGAGTTACTGTTGTGCATTAATGTTATATATATTTATCTTTAAAAAAGCGGGAATCTCATGAGAGTACAAAAAAGTATTGCTGCTTCAGGATATTTCAGACATATGGACTGGAGACATAAGTGGAGCAAAGCTACACCACACACAACTTGATCTTCCATTGTTATATGAATTTGATAAGTCGTGCGCAACATTTTCACGCTAGAAAACGTTTTATGCAGGAATGTAACTGATATGCTGCAACACAATACGAGATCGATGTTGCGAATTTTGATGCCGGAGCTGAAGGCAGACAGCGTTGTCGCCTGAGCGACCTTGGACGCTCTTACCGCTTTCGGTCTCAAAGACCGTACACATGGATGGTCTAGCAAATCCTTCTCCGTGGCTGACACTGAACCTGAGGTGCACCTTTAAAAAATAAATTGTACCGCAATGAGGCATAGCATAAGCTCTGTGATTGGTCAGCTTGTTAGCATTGGTGGGTGTGGTCAAGGCTCATAGCTCTGGGATAGAGGGACAGTTGGAAGCAGATTAACAAGTGTTGAGTCCTGTGGAGGAGCTCAAGATGGAGACTTATGTTTGTTTACTTTTTGATGTTGCACATCCTTGTTGCACAAAGCAGATTTAAAATTCAACTGTTTAGTACATCTTTAGACATTTATATTGTTGTTGCAGACGAAATATAACAGGAAACATGATTTAAATAGTCTGTTTGCTAGATTTTAATTAATAGTCATATAAAAATCTTCACGAAAGCATCTATGCTTGACGGTTGGTGTCGCGTGACCGCCATGTTTGTAATTTGTTGACACTTTTTACCCAAGTATGTAGTTCCAATCCAAGGTGCAATGTATTATGGGCAATATTAACACAGAGTATGGACAGTTCTACACTTTGAATACTGGAAATAGTACACCCAAGTTCAGCTCCAACTACATCAAATTCGCCGATGACACAACAGTGGTAGGTCTCATCCGCAACAACGATGAAACACATTACAAAGAGAAAGTGGCACAGCTGGCTGAATAATGTGGCACTAGCAACCTGTCCTTCAATGTAGAGAAGACAAAGAAGGTTGTGATGGACTTCAGGAGGAACTCGGTTGACCCACTGACAGCTCGACTGTCGAGAGAGCCAGCAGCACCTAAATTCCTGCGGGTGCACATCACAGAGGATCTCACCTGAACTACCAACTCCCTGTCACTCTCCAAGAAGGCACAACGCCTACACTTTCTCCATCGGCTAAAAAGGGCAGGTCTCCCTCCACCCATCCTCACCACATTCTACAGTGGAACCACTGAGAGCGTGCTGACCAGCTGCATCACTATCTGGTACGAGAGCTGCAGTCCTGCCAACTAGACCCTCAAGTGCACAGTGAACACAGCTGAAAAGGTCATTGGTGCCCCTCTACCCTCCATTCAGGACATTTTCCTCTCACGGTGCTCCAGCAGAGCTAACAGTATTGTGAAAGACTCCACCCATCCTTTCCACAGTTTCTTCCAGCTGCTGCCATCAGGAAGACGGTTTGGAGTATTGGAGCCCGTTCTGCTAGACTACTCAACAGCTTCTTCCCCCACTGAAATCTCTTGCGTCCCCCTGCATGCATTCCTTAGAGCGTCCTATAAAGATGAGAGGGAAAGCCACAGATGTCTCCCTTCTAATCTTAACCATAACTTAAAATAAATAAATAAATGCCTGATGGTGGGCAGAGTGTCGCAAAATACTGCTGAAAAAGTAGCCTGGACATGCACAGAAGGATTTAGTTGTGGAGTCGCGGTGGTTGTATCAAACTTTCATACATCAAATCAACAACGCCGACTGAACTTCTCATCTGACTGCCTGTAACTGCACTGTGTCCAAGGCTTGCTAAAACAAATACAAGGGCTTACATTTAAAAGCACACAATAATATACTATACATTTTTAAAAATAGTTTAATATAAACAGCTAGTTTAATATATTGAAGTTTACAATTAACAACCTTTGTACACAGGAGCGGTTAACTGGCGCTCTAGGCAAACGATGACCGTGCCACCCTCACGATGCTAATGCCGCCCTTATAAGTGAAAAGCAGTGGCGTCGTGGAAGAAAGTGAAGAGCGGGGTTCCCATGCCTAAATCTCCCACTGTTTGTACAGTCTACTTAAAGTGAAGCTTTGTGGTGGGCACAATATTTGCTATATTCAGATTGTTGGTATATTTATTTGTTATATTACACTCATATATTTGTTTAATTATTAAAGAATCAGTGAAAAACACCAACCTTCAGTCTTCAGTTCTTCGGTCTCCTCCTGTTTAATTCTGCAGGGTTCTAGAAATTAATAAGAGATCATTTATTTTCAGTTCACATTTTCATTATTAGTCACAAGCTTACAGGACGAGTAGGTCACAGGATAGATTATCCATTCGTTTAGCCTATTTATGAACAGAAAAGATGAACAGAGACTCGACAGCAACTGCTTTGACGTCGTTTGTCTGAAACATGCAGATGCAACGATTCTTTGCCTCTTCCATTCATAAAATAAACTTGTTATTTAGAAAAGTAATATTATGCAACTCATGTTACGTGAAAAGGTAGCAAAACATGAAGAAAGGAAAATTAATACCTGTTTAAAATAGGATTTAGGACCCTGAATACAATATTTCATTAAATTTAAGACTTTTAATTTGGATATTGAGATTTAAGACATTTTAAGACCCTGCAGAAACCCTGACTTAAAAGCTTCACTGTTTTTGTCATATGACAATAAATCAGATGAACTTTTTTAAAACTTTCATCGTAATTGTTCTTCAGCCTCATTATTGAAGAATCAGCAATAAACACCAACCTATTTGTTCTTCAGCCTCTTCCTGTTTAATTCTGCAGGGTTCTGGATCACTCATGTTCTCTCCGTCCTTCAATAAGCTCTGTCTTTGCAGATTTCACTTCTTCCTGATGGGAATATTCCAGTATTTATAGCAGAGGAGACAGAGCTTCACTGAGGAAGGAGCAGATCTGCCAAAACTAAACAAAATGTGAAAAATGTTACACACAGTTGCAGGAAAAGTATGTGAGCACTTTGGGATTGCTTGGATTTTGGCATCATTTCACAGAAAATGTGTTTTGATCTTCATCCAAGTCACAACAATACAAAGCTTAAGCTAATACCGCACAACCATAATATGTTTTCATGTTTTTGTCGAACACATTCACAGGACTTTCTTGATTCACTTCAAAAGTTGACTATTGGGATGATAAATTAAAAAGGCGCTACTTTAGATTATCTTACATTAAATGATGTGAACACAATGAGAAACCACATATTTAAAATCAGCAGTGGTATAATACGCTTGGTCACAGTCAACTTAAAATTTTGATATTCCAACAAATTGTGATGCTTAATATCCCATTGTCAGCATGTTTATGTAAATATCATAATGAGAGTATAATAGGAGAACAGCACTTGTTTTGATTTTTGTTTGAATTTGGCATATTTAGAGAAGTCTTGAGGTAAAGTTGGTTTTATATTCACACATTTGTTGATTTAGCAGTCTCTTTATTGTTTTCCATGTTACTTTGAATATTCGATGGGAATTAGCATGCAAGTATGACTTCTAAACAACATTAACACTATCTAATTCACTGTGAACAATGCTGTAATGTGATAGGCAAATCATATTAGCAGCAAATTACTATTTAGAATTGGCAAAGAATACTTTTCTGAAATTATATTATAAGGGAGAATGTGTGAATATCCCAATATAAAACCAACTTTACCTCTATTACATTTCAGGTCTAATATTCAAAGTACAATGGTAAACAATATAGGGAGCATGTCACAAGTATGTCAGTGAACAAATGTGCGAATATAAAACCAACTTTACCTCATTAAGAAGCTTAACTGTTCATAAAAACCTTTGTTTTTAATTTAAGGTTTAAAATGTCAAAATTGAAGATCATTAGGCTCAATGTGTGGCTTTAGCATTTTTTTTTTTAAAGTATACTTTTAAACATAATCCCTTTTTGTGTATGTGTGTAGTTATAATAAGCAAAAGAACTAATTAAAGAAGGGTTAAGTTTTAACAAATTAATTGAAAAAAATGGATTATTAACAGCTCACTTACCCTGACAGGCTAGTCAGAATAAAGAAAATTAAGGGTAAAGTTGGTTTTATATTCACACATTCGTTCATTTAGCAGTCTATATACTGTTTACCATGTTACTTTGAATATTCGATCGGAATTAACGTTAGCATGCAAGTATGACTACTAAACAACTTCTAATTCACTGTGAACTATGCTGTACTTTGATGGTCATTTGCTGCTAATATGATTTCCCTATTTACAATTTGCAAAGAATACTTCTCTAAAATGATATTATTAAGGAGAATGTCTGAATATCCCAATATAAAACCATCTTTACCTCTATCATAATAGCAGCCAGTGACTATTAAACTACAACATTGTTCAGCCAATTAAACGCTAATGTGGTTTTGAAGTCATACTTACATGTGATTTCAGACTGGATATTCAAAGTTCTGTGGTAAAAACACAGGGAGATTTCACAAGATCGTTCACTGAACCAATATAAACCAACTTTACCTCATTTAAATCTGGCGGCAGTTTAATACCGGTCGGCACTGATTAGCGCTCACTTCAGTACAATAATCAACAATAACTACTTAATCAACAAGAGCACAACTTAAGGACAATACAAAGGTCGCGATTTAACAAAACAAACTTGCTTGGATGCAATACAGCTGGATCGCCTCACTTCTCTCAGCCTGCACCGTTTTCCTCTTCTTTGGGTTCATTGACGAGTTGCAAACCAACGTTCAGGTGCATATCGCCACCTCCTGTGCTGGAGTGTGAAGGGATTTCTCTGGCAGCCGGTTCTCTCGCCTCTAAATGATTTTTACTTTTTATATATTAATTTAATCCTGACTAGACCGGTGCGTACCCTGCTGAAAAATCCAGCTTAAACCAGCCTAGGCTGGTTGGCTGGTTTTAGCTGGTTGACCAGCCTGGGTTTAAAGGGGTTTTAACCATTTCCAGGCTGGTTTCCAGCCATTTCCAGCCTGGTCTTAGCTGGTCTGGCTGGAAAATCAGCTTGACCAGCCTGGTTTAAGCTGGATATAGCTGGTTTAGGCTTGACTCTAAGCTTGGCTAGGCTGGTCAAGCTGGTTTTAGCTGGTCATCTCCCAGCCTGACCAGCTAAGACCAGGCTGGAAATGGCTGGAAACCAGCCGGGAATTGGCCACAACCCCTCTAAAACCAGCCTGGTTGACCAGCTAAAACAAGCCAACCTATGCTGGATTTTTCAGCAGGGTAGAATAATCAGAACTACTTAAAGCAAGAGTACAACTTAAGCCTGGAAAGGGAAAGATTTACTTAACACACAAAGTCACATATTTTGCTGCTGAAAAAAATAAGCATGAACTGGTTAGCTGGTTTTAGGTGTTTGACCAGCCTGGTTTTAAATGGTGTTTGGGCCATTTTAGGCGATTCATATACTATGTCCAGCCTGGTTTTAGCTGGTCAGGCTAGGAGAAGACCTGCTACAACCAACTTGACGAGCCCTTTGCCTGAAACCAGCCTGGAAATAGCCAAAACCCCACTAAAACCACGCTGGTTTAAGCAGTTTTTTTTCAGTAGGGTTGATATAAAGTCAGAATTCTAACTTTCGTTTCTTTTGAATTTTGACACTTTCTCACAACATTGTCAAACCCGAGACTTCCTGTCGCCAACAGAGCTTTATCTATACATTTTCCTAATGAAATTCTACTCATTTACACTTTGGCATAATAATTATTTATGACAATTGTGTTGATAGAAGACTTTAAGCAAGTGTAAAATCTGATTGTTTGGTATCATGTTAGATGTTAGCCTATGTGTGGCTATTATGGAAATATTAAGTAGGCCTAGCTAGCTGTCACTGCTTTAAAACAGAGAGAAATTAGGTCTGGATCCAAAGCTTGCTTAGTTACGCACAGTATACTACTTACAGTACAACAATGCAGCAATTATACTCTTTACACAAGTCCAGAAAAGGTGTGATCCAAGTTAACAGTTCTCATCGGTTAAAGCAAAAATAGACAACTCTAAATGTGTGCGTCAATGAAGGATTGTCTCTAACTCCAAATTTGGATGGCTGCATGGTTCTTGGGGTCAGGCTGACCCAAAACTATTAATAGCTGATCTCCGACCTGTAAAAAGCTGAACCATGGATGCATACACAGATGCAAGAGACAATCTGTTATGAAAACTAAAGTCTTATGTCTTATCAAAGTAGTTCAAAACTGGTTTAATCAACATTCAGCAACAATATTCTCACTACACACATAGTCAAGAGCATAAAAAGGAATCAGTTTAACGGGTGAACTCTGCTGCTATTTTGGGATTTCCGCCTGGATTTTGCCTACCCAAAATTTAAAACCTTCCCAAATCCACACGCAGAGGTGTAAATGCAAAAAAAATGGTATCATTTTAAAGAAAACCTTTTGAATGTTCATAAAACACTATTGAAATTGGTTAAAATAACTGTATATGTTGTCTGTGTTATAATAAACACCTAAAAAAGAGGCGCTTTTTGTATTTTTTTTTATAAACTCAAATTTGAAAGTGTACCTTTTAGGTTCTGTGTGGTCTAGCGTGCTGTAATTAATGTTGGGGGTTCCTGCACATGTCTGTAATCATAGGAAAAAAGAAAAAATGTCTCCACCATAATCTATGCAAAAGTTATTGTATTCCAACTGATGAGAGGTGCTGTACAAGCCTCAGGGAGCGATCATTGTGTTCATATTTCACTATTCTTTTGTTTGTTCAAACATAATTCACTGTGTTTGGAGCACGTCAGACATATAAAAGGATTACTGATGCACATCACAAAAACAGAGGAGAAATGGCCCTGAAGCACACAGCATAAGGTAAGAGATGACAGCTGTCTGTGCTATCTGGGGCTGCTTAGTGATCATGAATGTATTGTTTTCACTTCTGCGCCATGGAAACACCGCGATTCATTCAGCAACTGTTTGATATGCGAATATAATTCAGTAAAAAGAATGCTAGAACCGTATGAGCACCGGCAAGATCTTTCATTTGAGCTAGAACTTGTACATGTGTCATATGAAAAATATGAAAAGAACCATTGTAGAATACCCAGCTCGGGTGTCCAAAATACTGTGTATTTAAGTGTAAATAACTTTTGTACAGTAGAATAAAAACCAAAGTGATGCATATGAGCATAAAATATAGATTCTACACTTTCAAACGACACCACTTACAGGGGTCTGGTGCAATGCTAGCCCTTTAAATCTTAAAGCAAAAGTAGATGACGTCACTGACCCGGTATCGGGTCTGCAGAGTTTAAGTGGTTAAAAAGAATTAACAATTAAAATAGCTAAATTACTGTAGACAATATCATAACAATAGAAACAGCTGTTCCCCGTCATCAGGATCAGTAATTCCACTCAAGAGAAAAAGAGAGACCTGGTTTGTTTGTCTCCAGGGCCTGTTTTTTTCAAAAGGTTTAATCCCGATGAAGCTGATCCAGATTGAGAAATCTTTTTTTTGCGATCAGTGATCACGTAATCTAGCTTATTTTTTGAGGCAGTTTTTCAAAGCAGGCGGATCTCAAGTCTGCCCTTGGTTTGCTGTAGTTTGGTCAGAGTCAGTTGTTTCTCTGTGGATTTTCATGTGTCTCTTAAGCTGCATCAAATGAGTGAAACTCTTCGGACACTGATCACATGTGTACGGTTTCTCTCCAGTGTGAATCCTCTCATGTCTTTTCATGCTTCCTGACTCACTGAATCTCTTGTCGCAGTGTGAACACTTGTACAGTTTCTCTCCAGTGTGAATCCTCTCATGTCTTTTCATGCTTCCTGACTCACTGAATCTCTTGTCGCAGTGTGAACACTTGTACAGTTTCTCTCCAGTGTGAATCCTCTGGTGGTGTATTAAATCTTGAGCTGTAATAAAAGTCTTCTCACACTCCAAGCACATATGCTCTTTCACATCAGCGTGGCTCTTCTGATGTTTTCTTAAATTTGACTGCCGTGTAAAACTCTTTTTACACTCAGAACATGAATACACTTCCACCTTTGTATGAACTTTAAGATGCCTCTTCAGTCGTGAAAAGCTCAAAAATGTTTTGCCACACTCACCACATTTGTGTGGTCTCTCTCCAGTGTGGATCATCACCCACATAGCAAAATTTCTCTGGCCCAGCTCTGGCCCACACAATCAGGTTTTGCTTGGCCCACATGCCGCAGTGAATTACGGTACATGACTGGACCAAATCTGGCTTCCAAACAAGAGCCAAACACAGACCATATCTGGGCCAAGTCTCAGCCAAGTTAATAACTCATAACTGGGCCTGAACTGGGCCAGATAGGTTGGTGTGTCAGGATTGCAATGAAATTGATAAACCCATGGAGTGATGCGCTTTAGGCACACTATGGGCACGCTTTTTCTCAAAGTGACCTGATTGGTAGAATTTTTTTTCTTTACTCAAAAATGATTTTAGTGCATTTTAAATGTGGGTCAAGACTGGCCAAACTCACATGGCCCACTTATCAAATTTTTAAATCTGGGCCAAATACTACGTTTTTCATCTGGCCCAAATCTTGTGTGCCGCCTTAAAAACGGTGCCACCTCTGCCAAACCCGGGCCATGTTTGGCCCACACGCTGTATGCCAGTGCCGGATGAATGCCTGCTGTGCCAGCTTTTTGCCAAATCTGGGCCAGAATTCTTTGCTACTAGGGCACGAGCAGATTAAGAAATGATAATTGTCTGAAACTCTTCCCACACTGAGTGCAGATGAATGGTCTCTCTCCAGTGTGAATCCTCATGTGTCTACTAAGAGATGATGACAGTCTGAAACTCTTCCCACACTGAGTGCAGACCCAACAACTCTTGTTTCTTCTGTTCATGAAATAAACATCAGTAGTCTCTAAAGTAGATATTTCTTCAGCTTTGATAAGCCGTTTCTCCTCTTCACTCTCCTCATTCTCTTTAATTAGGTCTGAAATAAAGGTAAAACAAAGTTCAGTTTTTAGTAAGTCATAAATGTTGAGCAAATGAAAAGACACTGAAAACTTTGAGTACAAAATATTGACGCACATTAATGTCAAATAAATCAGATCATATTTACTTAAGTCTTATATAGTGGTCGACCGATATATCACCAAGTCTTATGATATTTCTTATCTTTCAAATGTCAGCATCAGCTGTTTGAGCAGCCTTTTAAGCCCCCCCCTTACGAAAATAGCCAACAGGAATCCTGCAGGAATTATGAAATCAAGACAAACTGACAATATGTGCAGGCAATTCCTACAGGTTTCAGAATGATGCAGTACTCTCTGCAGGAATCCTAAAGGATTATTTTTTTTCCCTGCAGAAAAGCTGCTGCCCTGCAGGAACTATAAAATCCTGTAGAACACTTTGACAAAATGTGCAGGAATTTCCTACAGGTTTTTACAAAGAATCCAAGCAAGTGACAAATCCTACAGGTTTTTATAGTTCCTGCAGGACTTGCAGGAGTTACTTGTTTTAATTGGAATGAAAGAAAGAAATGCCGTCACTTATTGTTGGAAGCAATACAATACGAGTTCTAACAGATAAACAATACAACAAAAAAATAAGAAAATAAATGCATAAATAAAGTATACAAATAGATCATAGGCAATTATTAAAACCAACCATTACACTAAACCAGTGGTTCTCAAACTTTTTTCATCAAGTACCACCTTCAAAAAAAAGTCTCTCCAAGTACCAACAAAATGAGCAGTATTGAAATACAGTAGCGTAGTAGGCCCAGTAAAGCAGCTAAAACTCTGCACAGTTAAAAAAACGTGGCAGATTACCTCAGAAATATAGGTTATATGTCATATATGGCATATTATATACATAATTTTTGATAAATTTTGAAATATATGTAGCATGTACATGACATATTTCCTTCCTCCGCGTACCACTATTGGGAAGCCTGCGTACCACTAGTGGTACACGTACCACAGTTTGAGAACCACTGCACTAAACCATTCAAATTATGCATTTATGCAAACAAAAAAGCTCTACACTTTTATGTTTTATTTCTATACTTTTTTCATTTATTAAAAATGTCAATCCAGTTGTCTACTGTGACAGTGCGGCAGACTTTTTGACAGCGTTGCGGCTGTGCACACTGTTAGATTATGTTCTCCTCTGCTCTTTGAGCACATTGGCTGCTTGGTATATTTAGATTGTGGATATATTTATTTGTTATATTACACTCATATATTTGTTATAATTATTGTAAAATCAGTAATAAGCACCAACCCTCAGTTCTTCAGTCTCTTCCTGTTTAATTCTGCAGGACTCTGGAAATCAATAAGAGATAACTATTTTCAGTTCACATTTTCGTTATTAATCACAAGCTTACAGTACGAGTTGGCCACAGGATAGATTATTCATTTGTATAGCACATTTATAAACAGAAAAGATGAACAGAGACAGCAACTGTTGATCCACTTAAAAAAAAAAAAGCACAAATAATAGCATCACAACCTAAAAACACAACATTGTATTACTTTCAGCTCTCATGTAAAAGAATAAAACAATTCAATTACATATTAAAGTTATTATTATTATTTATTATCGTCAGTATACAAATATATGTCTACTAAATTCCGTTCCTGTTCAGTCGCACTTAAATGAGTCACAGATTTTATTTCTTTTTTTTTTCCAGTAGTTTGTTTATTTGCAAATGATAAAGAATTCATTCTATCGATTTTCTATTTAAAATAAAATTATCAAAATTATATCTGTTTTATAGCAAAATAATAACAACAAGAGGTTAATTATAGCCTATGAAACATAATCAATTTAAACAGGGGTTCCCAAAATTTTCAGCCTACGACCCCTAAAATAACCATGCCAGTGACTCGTGACCCCCAATATCCTCTGCGGTGGTTATAAATACAGAAACCTTGCATGCAATGGCGCGCTCACACACGCACCAATAGACCCAAGTCTATTCTTCGTTTAGTTTTTTAAATGTATGTGAGTGCTGTAAATGGGCCAGAAAGTTTAAACTGGTGTTATAAAATCATTCTGCTGCATCTGACTCTATTGCTGTGTCTTTATTATAATGTAATTCATCGCAATCCAATAGAATTATAAGCTACTATAGTAACTATATAGTATATAGTAAATATAATTGACTATTTTTTTCTCTTCAGTAGGTTATGGATAAAATATGGTAATTCTTATGGTTTAAAAATAAAAAAAATTTTTGGAAATCCTCAGGCGACTCATCCTCAGCTGACTATATTGACGAGCCTCACTAAACAAGTCTTTTAGGAACAAATGAAAGACAGTCAATTTCGGTTTTAGTCAATATTATAGCCTATAACACCCATTTACATTATTTTTACATTTTATCTTTGTAGTCAAACAATTATATTGATGTATCAAATAGTATATACAAATAAAATAAGTGATATCTCATCATGCTGATGATTTGCTCCAAAGGAAGCATGTGCAGGGGTTGGACCAGGGTTGGACCAATCTCAGTCCTGGAGGGTCGGTGTCCCTGCAGGTTTTAGCTCCAACTTGTACAACAGTACACCTAGTAAGACCTTGATTAGCTTGTCCAGGGGTCTGTTTCAGAAAGGAGGTTAAGTGAAAACTCAAGTGAAAACTCCCTGAATTGAGAGAAACTCTGGGTTTTCCGTTTTAAAATGGCAGGTTTGTTAAACTCAAGAAAGCAGGGTAAGTCAAGCCTGTTTCTGAAAGAGACGTAACTTTAACTCAGAGTCAGTTACTGTGGTAACTTACTCTGTGAACCTAACCTGGTCCGGAGCAGGTTTTATTCTCTAAACTCTGAGTTTCTGTCGGCCTCCTTCCCTTTTTTAAAGATGAAGCGTATTTCTCGCCTTAGCCTTACGTTTCCACACACCTATTTTAGAGCTCATTTTGGAGATGCCCATAAAAACGATTGATGACAACGTCATGATTCACATAACTTTTGAAAATAGGCATAATAAAACATGTGCATAACTGAGGTTAAACTTTTATTTGATAAGATGCACATAAACTACGAAGTGCACTTAACAAATTACAGTATGAACATTAAAAAAAGGTTTGTTAAATGTGTGTGAAAGGACAAACCAGCAGACTGAGCACACTGTAGAACATCTTAAATGTTGTTTTAGTCATTCTAAAATGCCTCAACTGTTTTAGTATCAGTGTATATTATTAATTACCGCCGAGCGTCTGGAGCGTGTCTCCGCGTCTCATGGCTTCAAACGCCCCCACGTGTTCATTGTTTGTCAATTGTCTTCTGAGGCTCAGGTACATTAATTGAATAAAAAATCATTGACGCAGCTTCTTCTACCGCAGTAAATTCTGTTTTTACTGTTGATATTTGGCGCAAGTTAATCAGGAAGTGACGATTGTGTTCTCTTCGACTCTTTGGATAAAAACGCTGCTTTATTTTTAGGCGTTATTCCAGTTTTGCAAAAATTTATGTAATAGCCTGTATTTTGATGGAAACACAGCTATTGCCTACATTTTTGTCACACACAAAACAAAGTCACGTACGAGGCTTGTCCTTTTTTTCATAAATAACTAGTTTAACCTTCGACATGCACTGTTACTAGAATAATGGGATTATTATTCTGTCTAAAAAATTATTTTATTATTGCTTACCTTCTTAATGTTATATCAACCTCTATCACTTGATCAATAAAAAGGCAGACACACAACAAGTGCACTGTTAAATCTATTAAAACTGATAAAAGTGTATAAAAGAAAACGTCACACATTACATTACTTATTTTATTATACTTAAATGTTTAAATACTTAAAATGAAAAATTACGCATTAACTTGAGCAGCTGCTTTCCCACGCTGTCTCTGTTTCACTGATGGCTGCTTCATTTTAAATATATACACTCATATTTGCTATAACTTTGCATGAGCAGATCAAGTTCAGCCGGAGAAAGAAATGGTGATCTCTTTTTTAAAGATGTTGCCGTAGTCACTCATAATATCTGCGCTCTATTGATAATGCCTTTTTATAGTCACGGTGTGCGCGCTTAACTCTGAGTTGGTCTACACAAAGTTGATTGACCCAGCTCATATCAGCTATTCTGAAACCGAAAACTCAGAGTTTTTAATCTCTCGGTAAATCAACTCAGAGTTCAAGTTTAAACTCAGAGTTGTTTGAACCTCCTTACTGAAACAGGCCCCAGGTGTGTTTGATTAGGGTTGGAGCTAAAATCTGCAGGACACCGGCCCTCCAGGAATAAGACCCCTGGGTTGGACAATAAAACTGAAACACTGACCGGTTTAATGTTGGAGGGTTTGACCAGCCTTGTGGCCAATCTTCACTGATATGAAACACCTTTTGGACGCAAGATGGCATTGATGTCATGTGTGCTGCTTTTCTCCTTTGTGGATTTTCATGTGTTTATTACGCTGAAACAAATGAGTGAAACTCTTCAGACACTGATCACAGGTGTACGGTTTCTCTCCAGTGTGAATCCTCTCATGTGCTTTCATGCTTCCAGACTGACTGAATGTCTTGTTGCAGTGTGAACACTTGTACGGTTTCTCTCCAGTGTGAATCATTTGATGTGTTTTCAGGCTTCCTGACTGATTGAATCTCTTGTTGCAGTGTGAACACTTGTACGGTTTCTCTCCAGTGTGAATCCTCTGGTGCTGTTTCAATTGTCCAGCTGTAACAAAAGTCTGCTGACACTCTAAGCACATATGCTCTTTCAGACCAGTGTGGATCTTCTGATGTTTTCTTAAATTTGACTGCTGTGTAAAACTCTTTCCACACTCAGAACATGAATACGGTTTCTCCTTTGTGTGCACTCTAAGGTGCATCTTCAGCTGTGAATTTCTCATAAACGTTTTGCCACATTGATCGCAATTATGTGGTCTCTCTCCAGTGTGGATCATCATGTGCAGGTTGAGGTAGTACGATCGTGTGAAACTCTTCCCACACTGAGTGCAGGTGAATGGTCTCTCTCCAGTGTGAATCCTCATGTGTTTGTTAAGGTGTGATAATCGTCCAAAACTCTTCCCACACTGAGTGCAGGTGAACGGTTTCTCTCCGGTGTGGATCCTCATGTGTTTTTCAAGGGCAGACGACAGTCTGAATCTCTTCCCACACTGAGTGCAGACGCAACCATTCTTGCATTCTTGAGATTCTTCTTCTTTAATAAAATATGTATGAAAAGTCTGTAATTGAGGTAGTGTTTCAGCTTTGACATGTGGTTTAATCTCTTTACTCTCCTCATTCTCTTCAATTAAGTCTGAAATAAACATAAAAATTATCATTTTTAGTAAAAACAAAAAGCTGAGCAAATGTTGAAGAGTGAAAAGGCACTGAAAACATTGACATCTTTTAATGCACATAGATGTAAAATAAATCAGATTATATTTAGTTTGGTTTTAGCAGTCAAACGATGCGCTGATGTTTCTCATCTTTCAAATATCAGCCGATAAATTTTGCTGTTTGGCCGCTGAGTTAGAGACATGACTTGGCCAGGTAACCTGGCAAGAATGATCTCCACAAGAATGTGAGTTGATTCTTGAAATTGAGAAACAGCCATTAGCCCCTTTCACACAGTGATACCGGTAAATATCCGGAATATTTACGGAACGACTTTACCGGTAGATTCAAAAAAGCGCTGTTCACACAGGCGAGGACGTTACGGAATTTTTCCGGAAAAGACCGTTCACACATCCATTCCAAAATACCGGTAAATTCTGACATCATTAACCAGAAATGAGCCTTAAACGGCTGCGCTTGTGTTTGTAAACATTTGACTACATCACAAACTCTGTGGATGATCAGTATTGTGAACAACTTCGATGAAAACATACAAGTTAGAGAAACACTTTCGCATGTCGAGATGTTCATGATGTGTGTGCTGGCTCACCAGCTGCTTCACGGGCACACGTGACGCAGAGCTTGAAGGTAAACAAACAACGGCTTATCATAAGCATATTATAGATAATTATTTACACGGTAGGCATTAAGAAAAAACATATAAATGATATCTGACTAACATCTAGCAGCTAAAGGTGTCTGAAAAAATATTTAAAGGCTTTTATTCTCATAAACCGCGCGGACGTGAACGTGTCTGACTGTTCTGATTGGCTAAAGTAGACGACTCACGTCAGCACGTTCTAGACGTGCACGCGCTCTTTCCGGCAATCTTCCTTCTGCATTCACACAGCGCAGCATTCCAGCATATTACCGGTAATGTGACAACTTCTCTTTCTGGAAAATAGCCAAAACGAATTTACCGGTATTTTCAAAAAGGGCCTGTTCACACATACAACCTTTCCGGAAATTTGCTGGTAATTTTCCGGAAAGGTCTGTATGTGTGAAAGGGGCTATTGTCTCATTTGCTGTCTGCATTCAGCGAGCTCGCAGGTTTATCATGTAAACAAATGTTTTAATGATTAATGGACATTTCATTTCACAAACCTGCAAACTTCTGATCCAGCTGTAAGATCTAAAGCAGGGGTCTCAAACTCGCGGCCCGCGGGCCATTTGCGGCCCTCAGTGCAATATTTTGTGGCCCGCGCCGACCGCTGTACACTGACAGAATCAGCGGAGCGGGGAGAGAGAGCGCTCCCCGCTCCGCTGATTCTATCCGTACACAGCGCGCTTGTCACTCAATGCGTGTTGTCGCGCGCGTTCTGATCAGCTGTGTTGTCGCGCGCGTACTCAAGAGCGGTGTTATCGCGCGCCTACTGAAGGGCGGGACCGAGGGTGTGTCGCGTCGCGGGGGCACTTTTGATCATTTTGGAAGGGCAATTTCTATGCAAGACTAAAAAGGGCATGTGCTCTGCACAGGTTGAGCCCTATGTGTGCACGTGCCTGCCCTGTGTTGATATTATAGGTAGATACAGACTGGTACAGACTGATGTGACTGGAGTGGGGTGGGGGTGTTTTATTTATACATATATACGCCTTTTTTTAGGTGAGGGAATGGAAGTTTTGAGTGAGTTCCCCCACTTTTTTCCCTAAGACTTCAATAAGTCAAAGTACAGGTCTAGACTTAATGATGATCATCTTCAAGCCATACTGAGGGTCTCAACTGCTTCCGCTCTAAAGCCAAATGTGGATCAGATTTGTGAGAAGAAGCGCTGTCAAGTCTCTGGCAGCAAGAAGTAGGCAAAAGATGCCATGTTCAGAAGAACTGTTCATATTCTTCACTCAATGTTCTATTAATGTTCAGGACACTTCATGTTCAGAAGAAATAATTAAAACTGTTAATAATGACATTTGAGGACGTTTTTTTGTGAAATCCCTTATGCGGCCCAGCCTCACCCAGACTTTGCCTCCTGCGGCCCCCAGGTAAATTGAGTTTGAGACCCCTGATCTAAAGTGTGAATTTGTATTCAAATCTAACCATTCTGGATGACCATGTGCACTCAATGGTTCAAACAATGTTTTCTGATGGCAGTTCCATGTATCAAGATGATAATGCACTGATACACACAGCAAGAATGGTGCCAGAGTGGTTTGATAAACATGAAAGTGAAGTTGAACATCTCCTATGGCCTGCCAGTCACCAAATCTAAATATTATTAAGCCACTTTAGGATGTTTTGGAGGAGCGGGTCAGGAAACAATTTCCTTTACCACCATCATGCATTGACCTGGCCTCTATTCTGCAAGAAGAATGGTTCAAAATCAGGACTTGTATCTCTCATTCCCAAGACTAACTGATGCTGCATTGGTTGCTAAAGAGGCCGTACAGCATATATTATAGCCTAAAACCAGGTGTTGAAGATTCATTGTCCAAACCCTGTAGATACTAAACAGCATGGGATCCAAGTTGGATCACTGAGGCCCCGTTTACACTAATGCGTTTTCGTCTTAAAACGCATAAGTTTTGCTACGGTTACGCCATCCGTCCACACTACGCCTGATTCTTGAGCGCCGAAAAAGGAGCGTTTTGAAAACACTGGAGAGGCTGTTTTTATCCTAAAACGCTGCAGCTCCGTCTCAGTGTGGATTAAGAAAAACGCAGACATCTGAAAACGGAGGCGGGGCTGCTGAGATTCGCTAGCTGATTGGGGCTTTTGTGTCATTGCGTATCCTTCCCTTATTCGTCAAGCCCCTATCACATGACTATACCACATGGCTTTAACGTTATCGAAAGACAGCACTGTAAACAACAACATGGACACAGTAATGGGAGCGTTGTTTGCACTATTGTCTGTTTTAGGTGTCATTGTGCAGTTATTCATTTGTTATGTTTAGTAACAACTCGACCTCGTCGTCTGTCCACAAAAATACCTCTCTTGCTTTCTTTGCCATCGCGTTTAATGTTCATCCGGCGTTTGTTGACTAACAATAACCTAATGCCGAGCGAGACACATGTTTATACTAGAACGCGCATGCCCAGAGTGCGCGAATAGTCACGTGATATACGTTTATGGTGACGTAGTGTGGACGGAGATATGTTCAGAGACGCTAGGTGAAACGCTAGTGTGGACGCGGATCATTTTTTGATCTAAAACGCAGATTAAAACTAAAACACACTAGTGTAAACGGGGCCTAAGACTAAGTGATGCTGCATTGGTTGATAAAGAGGTCCTACTACACCATACTAAAGTATTATTGTGGTCTAAAACCAGGCGTTGCAGTTTCATTGTCCAACCCCTGTACATACTAAACAGTATGGGTCGCAAGTTAGATCGCTGAGTAAAAGCTAGAAACCATAACAAACACTAGTCTTATTAGATTTAATATTCAACAAACCTGCTTTTACTGAACATTTGATCAAAACATGATGGGAAACAAAAAGAACATACTTCAGTCCTTATTTTCTACAGTGCCATAATAAAGTGTGTTTACTTTTCAGTGGCTATGTTTAAAATCTTTAGTTTTTGTCGTACGACAATAAATCAGATTAACTTTTCAAAACTTTCATCATTATTGTTCTTCAGCCTCGTTATTGAAGAATCAGCAATAAAAACCAACCTATTAGTTCTTCAGCCTCTTCCTGTTTAATTCTGCAGGGTTCTGGATCACTCATGTTCTCTCCGTCCTTCAATAAACTCTGCAGATTTCACTTCTTCCTGATGGGAATATTCCAGTATTTATAGCAGAGGAGACGGAGCTTCACTGAAGGAGGAGCAGATCTGCCAAAACTAAACAAAATGTGAAAAATGTTACACACAGTTGCAGGAAAAGTGTGTGAGCCCTTTGGGATTGCTTGGATTTTGGCATCATTTCACTGAATATGTGTTCTGATCTTCATCTAAGTCACAACAATGCAAAGCTTAAGCTAATAGCACACAACCATAATCTTTCATTGAACAAGTGGTTCAACAGTACCAAAGTTGACTATTGGGATGATAAATTAATAAGGCGCTACTTTAGATTAGCTTACATTAAATGCTGTGAACACAATGAGAAACCACATATTTAAAATCAGCAGCAGTAGAATGTTACGATTAGTCAATGTTGTGGTTTTTAGTGAATGCTAATAACGTTACATTTGTTCACTGAGCAGTGAAAGTTTCTACCCGTTTCAAAAAGAAATATTTGTTGTTCAGTTACTATTTATAATTTTGATATTTCAGCTAATTCTGATGCTTAATATCCCATTGTCAGCATGTTTATGTCAATATCATAATAAGAGTATAATAGCAGAACAACACTTGTTTTGATTTTTGTTTAAATTTGGGATATTTAGAGAAGTATTGAGGTAAAGTTGGTTTTATATTCCAAATTCCAAATAACGTTTGATGGATTGGGATTTCTGCCTTCCAATCAGTCCCAGCATGGATCACCGTATACCCTTTTTCCCCATTACTTTATTAAAATGATTATTTGAATAAGGAATAAAGTTAACACACTGCTTAATATAAGAATGTTCAGCCTGTCTCTTTGTAACTATTTTCAGGAGCAACCAAATTAGGTCAATAAAGGTAAAGTTGGTTTTATATTCGCAAATTCAGGCTTTCCCCATAATAATATAATTTCCTAAAAGTATTACTTGCAAACTCTAAATAGTGAAATCAAATTAGCAGCAAATTCACAGTCAAATAAACAGTGTTAATGTTGTTTTCAAGTCACACTTGCATGCTAATTCCGATCAAATATTCAAAGTAACATGGTAAACAATACAGAGACTTCTAAATGAACAAATATGTGAATATAAAACTAACTTTACCTTTATATTAGGCCAGAGCTCTGCTAAAAAATCCAGCTTAAACCAGGCTGGTTGGCTGGTTTTGGCTGGTCGACGAGGCTGGTTTTAGAGGGGTTTTGACCATTTCCAGCCTGGTCTTAGCTGCGTAGGCTGGAAAATGACCAGCTAAATCAGCTTAAACCAGCTTGACAAGCCTGGTTTAAGCTGGACATAGCTGGTTTTGGCTGGGCTCCCAGCCTGGCTAGGCTGGTCAAGCTGGTTTTAGCTGGTCAGCTCAAATGGCCAAAACCCCTCTAAAACCCGCCAACCAGCCTAGGCTGGTTTAAGCTGTTTTTTTCAGTATGGAGACCTCGATTGGAACTAAATGGCTTGATTGAAAACAACTGTTCAACTGCTTTCCTATTTGTATTGCTATGTGTTAATACTGTCTAAAGTGATTTTGATATTATTATTATGTTAATTCTGTTCAAGATAGACTTTGTGTGGTAAGGATATAACCGCCTGAATGTAAATTATACCGGTTATTAACCAGTTTTGATAAAGATGGCTGAAAGTACACTCAGCCCTGGGTAAGAAACAGATTGTACTTTAAGCGTGTGTGTTCTATTTGATTGTGGATCCGTTTTACAGGAATAACTTTACCTCTATAAATCATATTAGCAGCCAATGACTATTAAAGCACAACATTGATCACAGTAAAATAAACAGTGTAATGTTGTTTTCAAGTCACACTTGCAGGTTATTTCAGACCGAATGTTTAAAGTGCCGTGGTAAACAATATAGGGAGTGTGTCACTGAACGAAAGTGTGAATATAAAACTTTACCTCGATTAATAGAGGTAAAGTTTGTTTTATATTCACACATTCAGACTTTCCCCTTAATAATATAATTTCTTTAAAGTATTATTTGCAAACTCCAAACAGTGAAATCATATTAGCAGCCAATGACTATCAAAGTACAACATTGTTCACAGTCAAATAAACAGTGTCAATGTTGTTTTCAAGTCACACTTGCATGCTAATTCCGATTGAATATTTAAAGTAACATAGTAAACAATATAGAGACTTCTAAATGAACGAATGTGCGAATATAAAACAAACTTTACCTCTATCCTCGATTCCAACTTGCATTATATCACTGGAAATAAGTGAAACACTATAACAAAGCCTAATGGATTTCCACATTACCATCTAAACAAACTCTCTACAGTACAATAATCACCAATAAGTACTTAATCAACAAGAGCACAACTTAAGGACATTGCAAAGGGCATGATTTAACAAAACAAACTCACTTACTTACACATTACAGCTGGACTGGTTAGTCCGTTTCACTTCTGCTTTGTTTTCTTCTTCTTTATGTTTATTGAGGTGTTGCAGACCAACTTTCAGGTGCATATCGCCACCTCCTGTGCTGGGGTGTGAAGGGATTTCTTCGATAGGGGTAAAGTTGGTTTTATTTTGGGATATTCAGACAGTCTCCCTAATAATATCATTTCAGAAAAGTATTCTTTGACAATTGTAAATAGAGAAATCATATTAGCAGCAAATGATTATCAAAGCACAGCCCTGTTCACAGTGAATTAGATAGTGTTAGTTTGCATGCTAATTCCGATTGAATATTCAAAGTAACATGGTAAACAACATATGGACTTCTAAATGAACGAATGTGCGAATATAAAACCAACTTTACCTCTATTTTCCTTTGTCAGCCGGTGTAGTGAGAAATCGGGTCCTGCCTCTGAATATTATTACAAGACTTTATCTCAGAATTACATGATACAAACTCACAATTCTGCGTTTTAGGCCGTACTCACACTAGGTACAGTTGCCTCGAACCAAAGCACGCTTGTCCCCCCTCCCGTCTCCCCCGACGGCCCGCACTCACACCACAAACAAGCTTCGGCACGCTTACGTCATCGCTGCTGCACTGTTCAGTGAGAAGCGCTCTCTCACTCAGCAGCACAGTGAAGATTTCTCTAGTTATATCGTGTCAGTCGTTTGATATGCCGTCAAATATTTCGCCAAACAGTCCTTAGGGATGCGGGGACACGCAGTCAGATATTTCGCCGAACAGATCCGCCACTTTTGGCGTTCATAAACAATCATAAAGCTCTCGTGCTTCAGGAATGAGGAGGTCTGCTGAAGGTGCAGCTGTCGTGCAGTGAGGAGTTCTCGTCTTTAATAAACTACGGCAGTTTGCGTTCACTGAACAGTAAGAATTATTAATTAACCCATATGAAACAGCCCCTTAAAAGTCACGTCTTGCTTTCAGTTTCGGGCTTTGGCGCGTTTTGCACTCACACACAAGCGTACCGCGCCAAAGCCCAAGTGAACCGCGCTCAGGCACACCTCTTCCAACCGGGCCAGGGCCGGCCAAGTGAACCGTGCTTGAGCCCGATTCAGCGCACTCACACTTCTCAAACGATCCGGGAAACGGGCCTGGGCACGGTACGGATGGCATAGTGTGAGTAGGCCCTTAAACTCTAGACAGAATTCTGACTAGACCGGCGCGTGCTTCAACAGAATAATCACCAGAACTACTTAATCAGCAAGAGTACAACTTAAGGACAATAGCCTAAGAAAGACTTATTTAACAAAATAAAGTCACTTATTTCCCTGCTAAATATAACAGCTTAAACTAAAAACTGGTTGGCTGGTTTTAGCTGTTCGACCAGCCTGGTTTTAGACGTGTTTTGGCCATATCTAGGCTGGTTTCAGACATTTTCAGCCTGGTTTTAGATGGTCAAGCTAGCAGAAGACCAGCTGAAACCAACCTGCCTATGTCTGAAATCAGCCTGGAAATGGACAAAACCAGTGGCTCGCATAATGAGGGGCCCCATGTGGAACCAGGTCTTCTGCTAGCCTGATTAGCTAAAACCAGGTTTTATGTATACACTTTCTCAAGACATTGTCAAAAACAAGATTTCCTGATACCGACAGAGCTTTATGTGTACATTTTCCTAATGGAAATGTACTCTTTGTCATAATAATTATTTATGATATGAAGTGTTAATAGAAAACTTTGGGCTAGTGTAAACCCTGCTGAACAAAACAGTTTATACAAGCCTAGACTGGTTGGCTGGTTTTAGCCGGTTGACCAGTCTGGTTTTAGAGGGGTTTGGCCATTTCCAGGCTGGTCTTAGCTGGTCAGGCTGGAAAAGGACCAGCTAAAACCAGCTTGACCAACCTGGTTTAAGCTGGACACAGCTGGATTTGGCTATACTCCCAGCCTGGCTAAGCTGGTCAAGCTGGATGTAGCTGGTCATTTACCAGCCTGATCAGCTAAGACCAAGCTGGTCAACCAGCTAAAACCAGCCAGCCAGCCTAGGCTGGTTTAAGCTGTTTTTTCAGTAGGGAAATCTGATTGTTTGACTCAGATGTTAGCCTACATATTGCTTTTATGAAAATATTAAGCAGGCCTAGCCTAGTTTGCTATCATTGCATCAAAACAGAGTGAAATTTGGATCCAAAGCTTGCTTAGTTAAGCGCAGTATAACTACAAAAGCTCTTGATTTGTTTTTCTCGCTTAAATACTCCATCTAGGCTTTATTTTGGCCTTCAGCCTCACTATGTATTTTCATTAAAACTGCTATTGTGGGATGGTGAATTAATAATTTTACTGTGGGAGAGGAAAATTCCTGAGCAACTATTAGTGAGAAATTAGAATTTTGTGCTGTCAAATTGATGAAGATTGTTCCTTAATTTGCTGGTGTTTTTGTAAGTGCATGTGCTTTCTTAAATTGCAGTGCATGACGCTCTCTCGGCCACTGTAGTGAAAGCCTTTTAAGGAGCAGAATTAATAAATGTTCTCTCAAAATAATAAAAGTGTACATGTATGGAGTGGGTCTCTATTGTTTATTTAAAAAAAATTAAAATGGCAATTTATTATATTTATTATTAAATGTCCAAAATGAATAAAACTGTTTGGGCTAGTTTTTGGAGTTTTTTGTTTATGAAACTAACTTAAAGTAACATTTTCATGGTTTGGACAATTCATGTGTTTAATTCATGACATGATAAAATGGGTGAGGCAGTGGCGCAGTGAGTGTTGCCTCACTGCAAGAAGGTCGCTGGGTTGCTGGTTCGAACCTCGGCTCAGTTGGCATTTCTGTGTGGAGTTTGCATGTTCTCCCTGCCTTCGCGTGGGTTTCCTCTGGGTGCTCTGGTTTCCCCCACAGTCCAAAGACATGTGGTACATGTGGTGTGTGAATGTGTGTGTGGATGTTTCCCAGAGATGGGTTGCGCCTGCGTAATGACTTGCTTGATAAGTTGGTGGTTCATTCTGCTGTGGCGACCCTGGATTAATAAAGGGACTAAGCCGACAAGAAAATGAATGAATGAATAAAATGGATTGTAAACAATGATCAACCTGTCAAGTAACCTTATCACCACTAGATGGAAGCACACATTAGTGTTTATACCTCACCTACCCAGAGCTCTGAATAGTACCTAAATAAGCTAAAATGACACAAATTATTTCTTACATTAGACAACGATTTAAAGTCCTGATGAAACTGTTAATTTTGTTTGTCACAGCCAGAAACTGCCGCATAGTTTTTGGAACTAGTTCTCGAAGAAAATATGGTACGAGATGACAAATTTCATAAATGACAAATTATTGCCAAAGTTCCGTTTAGAATACCAACATGTTATTTTGGGGGTTTTGAACTACAACAAAAAAACAGAGAAGGAAGCGTATTTTATTAATCTTTTGATAATATTTACAAAGTACCATATTCACAGATGCAAACTTAATAACCAAAAACAATTCTATTTGTTTTTGCTATAATAATTGAATTAAAACATTATACAAACAACATAAAGCAAAGCACTAACAAAAAGCCATCAACACCGCTTTTTTACTTGAAACCTTCAAGATCTTGTAATTTCACAAGGCCCTTCTCTGTTAGTATGTATACTTACACATTGTCTTATATATTAAAAATATTTATACAGTTGAAGTCAGAATTATTCGCCCCCTTTTGATTTTGATTTTCTTTTTTAAATATTTCCTAAATGATGTTTAACAGAGCAATGAAATTTTCACAGTATGTCTGATAATATTTTTTCTTCTGGAGAAAGTCTTATTTGTTTTATTTCAGCTAGAATAAAAGCAGTTTTTAATTTAAAAAAAAAAGTTTGGGACAAAATTATTAGCCCCTTTAAGCAAATTTTTTTTCCGATAATCTACAGAACAAACCATCATTATACAATAACTTGCCTAATTACCCTAACCTGTCTAGTTACCCTAATTAACCTAGTTAAGCCTTTAAATGTCACTTTAAGCTGTATAGAAGTGTCTTGACAATATCTAGTCAAATATTATTTACTGTCATCATGGCAAAGATAAAATAAATCAGTTATTAGACATGAGTTATTAAAACTATTATATATATATATATATATATACATACATACATACATACATACATATATATATATATACACACATACATACATATATATACACATACATATATACATATATACATATATATATATATATATATATATATATATATATACACACACATAAATATTTCATTTCTTTTCATATTGTTTTAAATGTTTTTCTTTAAGCATTAATAAAAAATATATAAATAAAAGAATAAAAGTACTGATCAAATGTTGACGTTTTATTTTTGTAGTGATGTTTTGTCTCTTATTCCTAATTAATATTTGATATATACTTCTTCACTCACAGCCTAATTTGATAATTAAGGCTAAACCTAATTAACAGTGAATTAAACAATACTTTTTTGGTGCAATCCCACACTGTTAAATGCTGGATCTGTGTTGCGACAACACAAAGGAATGAAGTCAACACATTGATTTTTAGAAATATAATTGGATTGAGCATAAATCAATCAAGTTCATTCTTTCATTCATTTTCCTTCAGCATGGTCCTTTATTTATCAGGGGTTGCCAGAGCGGAATGAACAGCCAACTATATATATCCCTCATATGTTTTACGGAGCGGATTCTCTTTTAGCCGCAACCCAGTACTGGGAAACACCTATACACAAATTCACACACGCACTTATACACTACAGCCAATTTAGTTAATCAAATTTACCTGTACCACATGTGTTTGGATTGGGGTGGAAAACGGAGCACTTGGAGGAAACCAACGCAAACACGGGGAGAACATGCAAACTCTACACAGAAACGCCAACTGATCCAGCCAAGGCTTGAACCAGGACTCGAAACAATGACCTTCTTGCTGTGAGGTGACAGTGCTAACCGCTGTGCCACCGTGCCTCCTATCAATTAAGTTGTCCCCCCCCCAAAAAAAAAATCTTAAGAATTGTGCTGATTCCGATCAATTTAAATAAGTAGTTTGAACACAGAGCCAACACCTTTTTTGAGTATAATAAATAGTGAATTACACAATACTTTTTAGTGCAAGTGCCACACTTAAA